TCTCCTCTCTTCTTAAACTACCCTTTCCCCTTTCCTTCTTCCCTCCTCCCTCCTTCATCCCCTTTCCTTCCTTCCTCCCCCCCTTTCTTCTGTCTTTCCCCCCCCTAACCCAACTCCCTTTACTTGCCTCACCCCCTCTCCCTCACTCCCTCCCTTCCCCCCCCCCCTCCTACCCTATCAACGGTCTCCTGACTCATCGAACTTCGTCCCTTTAATACAGCGGGACTGACTTTATATAGAGCTACTTTATATCTACCCGTCAGTTTGCCTGTGTGACTTTGTCTGTCTGTCTGTTTCCTTGTGTGTGTGTGTGTGTGTGTGTGTGTGTGTGTGTGTGTGTGTGTGTGTGTGTGTGTGTGTGTGTGTGTGTGTGTGTGTGTGTGTGTGTGTGTGTGTGAGTGTGTGTGAGTGCGAGTGCGTGCGTACTTACGCGTGTCTGTTTGCGTCTGTTTCTATTTATCAGCTTGTCTGTCTGTCTATTATTAAGTGTCTGTAGGCCCGCATGAATCTACATGTCTGTCTGCATACTTGCTTATGTGAATACCATCTTGCAACCCTGCCCGTTTCTTGTCTGATTATCATGCCATCTGCCTACCGCCCTGTCTGCCTGCTTGTCCGAACTACCACCATGCTAGCCTGACTGCTTGCCTGTCTTCTCCTCTGGCTATTCGTCTGTCTGCTTGCTTGTCTGCTTGCCTGCCTTTATTTGCCTGCTCGCCCTCCTGCCTACATGACTCTCACGCCAAGCTCCGAGTCGGGCATCGGATAATCCGGAGAAAAATTGAAAACAAAATCACTTAATCCCCAGAGCAAGTGCCGGCCATCGACGCCCCCCCCCTCCCCCCCACCTCCACACGCTCCATGACACCAAACCCTCATTTATCTCCGTGACAACGCCTGCCAGCCTCCAACGCCATGCATGACAAGCGCCTGTAAACATACATGCATACTTCCACTCGAAACACGTGAGTCCTTTTCATTATTCTTTGAAGTGTGAATTCTTGTCGGACAGAGGGTGATGAAGATGGTGTGTGTGTGTGTGTGTGTGTGTGTGTGTGTGTGTGTGTGTGTGTGTGTGTGTGTGTGTGTGTGTGTGTGTGTGTATGCGCGTGTGTGCGTGTGCGTGCATACGAGCTGATTTCGTGTAAATTGATCGGTCGGTGTCAGTGAATCAAAAATTAAAATACAACCATAATTTTCAAAAAAACAAACAAAAACAGCATCGCCCATTACATTTCCATTTTACACTTAACATCACAGGCTACGACGACATAATTCCAGCACAAAAGGTTCTCCCTCCCAATCCCGGGTTCATCCTCCCTCGCCCACGCCCGGGGGAAGGGAGGAGGGAGGAGAGAGGAGAGAGGAGAGAGGAGAGAGGAGAGAGGAGGGGAGGAGGGGAGGAGGGAGGAGGGAGGAGGGAGGAGGGAGGAGGGAGGAGGAGAGGAGGGAGGAGAGAGGAGAGAGGAGAGAGGAGGGAGGAGGGGAGGAAGGAGGGACCTGCACCCCTAATCCACCCTCCATTCCTCCCTTATCTGCACTATCCCTGGGGAGATGCTACAAATTGCCTCCGAGGCGGGAAACCCAGAGAAAGGGGGGAGGGGGTAAGGGGAAGGATGGGTGGTGGGTAGAGTGGGGGGGGGATGGTACGGCGGACGCGACGCGACCCGCATGTACCCCCCACATCCCCCCAACGACACCACCCGAGCACCACACCACACTCATCAACACCCCCCCCCCTCACTTTTCAGTCTCATTTCCATCATCTTTGTTGTCTCTCTTATCCAATTTTGGCGTCTCTTCTCTTCCATCTCTATCTGGTCTGAATCGAAAGGACACGGCTATCAAATTCTCACGTGCAATCAGCTGACAACACCCACCCACCCACACACCCACACCCACACACCCACACACACACACAAAGTATATTCCCACCAAAAAACATCAAATTTCATATTAGAGGTAAATCATTAGGTGGAAGGAGGAAGGGGGGAAATACAAAATAAAAAAAATACGAAAAAGACAGAAACTCAAGAACGCGGATGAAAGACAGCGGGTTAAAAATGGAAATCGGGGAGAAAGGGAGAGAGAAGATAAGGTCAAATGATCAGCCAAGGAAGCGGCAGGAAACGGGCGAGTGACCTGACCTGAGATGGGTCACACGCACTGAGGGTGAAATGATGAGGGGGTGGGGGGGGAAGGGAGGGTCACTCAGCATTTAACAGACCAGAAGGAAATTTAAGTCTTTAATCTGGGAGAGAGAGAGAAAGAGGGGGAGAGGGAGAGGGAGCGAAATAATAGAAAGAAGGAAGGACAGGTAGAAACGATGGAAGGATGGAGAGAGGCAGGGAAGAAGGGAGGGAGAGATGGAAGACGAGGGAAGAATAGATACAGGAAGGAGGAGATTGGATAGATAGATAGATGGATGGATATATATATATATATATATATATATATATATATATATATATATATATATATATATATATATATATATATATATATATATATATATATATATATATATATATATATATATATATATATATATATATATATATATATATATATATACACAGAGGGAGAGAGAGAGAGAGAGAGAGAGAGAGAGAGAGAGAGAGAGAGAGAGAGAGAGAGAGAGAGAGAGAGAGAGAGAGAGAGAGAGAGAGAGAAATAACAAGAAAAAAAGAGAGAAACAGAGAGAGAGAGAGGGAGCTGACTTTTCATCGCCTTCTGCCCGCCCCTTTACTATCCGTCACTGTGGCAGAGATTGGCACTATCAGCTAGCCATCAGACGCGTCGGACAGTCCTCGCCGCTACTGCTCCTCCGATCCATTCTCATCTCTCCATCTTGTTTCTCTTCCTACCACTATCGTCTGCTTCTGTGTGTGTTTATGTACGTAACTATTTGAGTGAGTGAGTGGGTGGGTTAGTGAGAGGATGGGTGAGAGAGGGTGAGTGAGAAAGTGAGTGAGAGTTGGTGAGAGAGTGGGTGAGAGAGAGTGAGTGGATGAGTGAGTGGGTGGATGAGTGAGTGAGTGAGTGAGTGAGTGAGTGAGTGAGTGAGTGAGTGAGTGAGTGAGTGAGTGGGTGGAGTGAGTGATGTGAGTGAACGTGAGTGAGTGAGTGAGTGAGTGAGAGAGAGAGAGAGAGAGAGAGGAGAGAGAGAGAGAGAGAGAGTGTGTGTGAATGAGTACGTGTGTTTGTGTGCGCGTATGCGTGTGCGCGTGCGCGTGTCCGTGCTTGCATGTCCGTACAAAAGTGTACACGTGTACCCGCCTGCGTGAGTACGGCACCTCACGACGTAACCGCAGCAATTAGTTCTAGCACTTTCTAAGTCGCAGCTTCACAACGGCGGCGCAGAGGACGTGATGACGGCAGTGCGGGGTTCACTTCCTACACCAGCAACAAAACAACTAAAGAACACAAACAAAAACATTCAGAGCACAAAACCGACTCGCAAGACGGAGGAAGGCGCACGTCACGTCACGTAAAAGACAACTTCTTTTTTTTTTTTTTCTTTAGACATTCCCGATTTCATCCAGACTCTCGCGAATTCATCCAGATATTCCCAATTTCATCCAGACCCTCGCACTTTTAAAAAGGTCGTGACCACGGCGACCCAAAGACCGAAGAAAGACGGTGCCGACATGAAACGATACGACGCGGAAGCACTTGCACGGTAGCAGAGAATGGTCGCAGAATGGTAGCAGAGAATGGCGGCAAAGAATGGCGGCAAAGAATGGTAGCAAAGAATGGTAGCAAAGAATGGTAGCAGAATGGCAGCAGAGAATAGTAGCAAAAAAATGGTAGAAAAGAATGATAGAAAAGAATGATAGCAGAATGGCAGCAAAGAATAGTAGCAGAATGATAAACCTGAGAATGATAGCCGAGAATGGTAGCACATCGCACATAACAATTTAAAAAAAATGGATAAGGGAGGAACGGATTTCGCAAAAAGAAAAAGAAAAAAAAGTGCTACAGAGCAACCGCCTTCCGTGACTCTCTTCCGTCCGTCTTGCGAAGGTGTGAAAAGCCCCCGAACGTGATTTCGATAGGGTCGACATTGACACACATTGTGACACTTTTTTTCCCGTGCGTGTGCGTATGTGTGCGTACGTGTGCAGAGCGCGTGTTGGGGAGAGAGGGAGGGGGAGGTGAGAGGGGAGAGGGGGGAGGGGAGAGGGGGGAGGGGAGAGGGGGGAAGGAGAAAGGGGGAAGAAGAGAGGGATGGGAGGGACGGAAGAAAAAAAAGAAAAAGAAAAAAAAAGAGAGAGAGAGAGAGAGAGAGAGAGAGAGAGAGAGAGAGAGAGAGAGAGAGAGAGAGAGAGAGAGAGAGAGAGAGAGAGAGAGAGATTGGTGACAGATCATGGCATGAATTAAATAGAATAATCCTAATAATTAATTCAATAACTAATGGCACGATTATGCTGCTTCGCGGCTTGTTTTGTGGCACAGGCGCTCAATACGTTATCCCTTTTGTCACACGGCAAATGACATCATAACACTCTGGCTTTTAAATGAAAGGGATGATCCGTCTTTTTTCCATTTATATTTGATCTTCCATTTATTTTCCATCTCTTTGCCTTTTTTGATACCTTCTCCTTCCTTATCTTCCTCTCCCCTCCCTCCTCTCTCTCTCTCTCTCTCTCTCTCTCTCTCTCTCTCTCTCTCTCTCTCTCTCTCTCTCTCTCTCTCTCTCTCTCTCTCTCTTTCTCTCTCTCTTCTCACATCCTTCGCCCCTTTCCCATTCCCTTTCTCCTCATCCCCCATCCCTCCGAACCCTCCCCTTTCCCCTCTCTTACTCCTACCTCTTACTATCCCTCTTCCTCTTCTCTTTCTACCCTTTCCTCTTCTTCATCTCCCTCTCCATTTTCAACTTCTACCTCTCCCTCCCTCTCTCCCTCCCTCCCTCCTCCTCCCTCCTCCCTCCTTCCCTCCCTCCCTCCCTCCCTCCCTCCCTCCCTCCCTCTCTCTCTCTCTCCTCCTCCTCCTCCCTC